ATAGACTTCTCAGGCCCCAAACTGGTGCTCGGAACTCTGAAAGGCTCTTGGAGTAACGTAACAGAGATTTGATACGGTCCTTGTCCTCACAGGACTTATGAGTTGAAGACAAAAGGTAACACATGGGAAAATTAGAAGAAAGAAAAGTTAAGCAATAAAAGGCATGCTATTACCACAACTTATACTGTAGGCACTATAACGTAAGTGCTATTAACACTTTAGAAAACGGAGATTTGACCATAGCTATCCAATCATGAAGTAATGAGAGTATTAAATTGGGATTTAGGAGGGTGAGACTTTAGTTCTAGCTCTATGACCTTAGACAAATTATACCCCTTGCTGGGATTTAGTTTCCATGTTTATAAATGGAAAGATTCAACAAGATGTTCATTAGTTCTATAATTCATCAAGAAGCTAGGGCTGGAACTGTGTCTTTAGGGATTTGTTTTTCTGTTGTTGTTTTTTGTTTTGCCTTGTTTATGTTTTTTAAAGAGTACATGAAACTGTAAAGCATTTCTGGGTAGAATCTATTGACAGGAAAGTAGGAATAGATATATTCACGAGATAGTATAATTTTGAGGATGTAAAGAAATAACAAAGTGCTGCATTTTATAACAGTCAAAAGACCTTCTGTTTTTAAGTGCATTAAAAAAGTCACATAATACACTAAGACTCTGTCTCAAATACCAAATTATTCTGAAGTTAATAGAGTATCAGAGAATGGAGCTGCAGAAGAAGATAATTTTTTAAAACTTAAATTCATTGCATGTGAAGCAATTAATGTAGGTAGGCAATTTGGAGAAGCAACGATAACACTCTTCCCCTTTCCTTCCCAAGTTCATAACCCACTGAAAAAAGACATGGAAGTTACACAGATGAAGAATAAAATATTTTTATTATTGATGAGAGCAGAATTGCACATCAAAAGTATATATTCGCAAGGTTTTCGTTATTCTAAATCAGCGGTTCTCAACTGAGGGTAATTCGTCCTCACCTCTGCTCCTGGGGTCATTTGGCAAAGTCTGGAGCCATTGTTGTTTGTTGCCCCTGGGTAGGGGAGCGGGGTGCTGCTGCCACTCGTGGGGGAGGCCAGGGATGCTGCTAAACATCCCCCCACACGCAGCACAGCCCTACACGACACAGAATTGTCAACTATTTGGCTCCACATGTCAACAGTGCTGAGGTTTAGAAGCCTTCCTCTAAATTAAAGTCTTACTCACAACCATCATCCCTCTTCAACTGGATAATTTCCGGTTTCCCTCCTAGGGTCAGGCAGACAGCTTTGGACAAGGCAGACAAAAGGCTGAATCCCTCCCCCACCCCCAACCCGCCATTGCCCTGTTGCAGACTGTGAGATCCAAAACACTCACCTGAACCTGCTCTTGACCCTTTCTCAAATCCATCAGTCCGGGAGAAGCGAGAGGCAGGAAGGAAACCGACAATGATATTCTAAATGAAACTGCCTCATGGAAATTCAAGGCTAGGAAAATTCAGTTTTTCCCTAACAGTGTCCAAATAATTATCTCCTATGCTAGCCATGCTTTGTGACTTCCCATGGTTGTCTAAGATCATGGCTCACCGAACTTGAGAGCTGCGTAGACATGGAGGCTTTATGCATAGACATAGAGGCTTTCTCGAAATGTCAGAGAGGTTCAGACAGAAACCGTAGAAGAAAACTGACAGCAGAAAATACTGTTCACGTTGATTGGGGAGAAAGGCGTTCCTATGGTAGAGAAAGATCATGATTTGGCCCTTTGCCTTAGTTGGCTAGTCAGCAAATCCATTGTTCCTTTAGTTTACCTGGTTGTCAATTTACTTTTCGTATCAGAATCCGGATGATGTTTACTACACAGTTCCTGAATTAAGGGAGCACTTTTAG